GAGGCGAGATATGATGACAAAAACTGTTTTCACACTATTGAAACATGGAAAAAGCCAAAATAATCAAATAAAACAGCGCATAGAAACAAAAGCATGACAAACCATGTGTGTCGTGTGTTCCGGAACGTGTTAAAAAAGCAAAAAAAAGGAAAAATGATAAAGGCCGAAGCGATCACAGTTTATCATTTCTTTTTGGGGAAGGGCACGGTTTTAGCTTCCATACAGAACTTCTCATAATTTGATTTTTTAGAATACGATGTAGCCTACGCAATGAATTTCGGGACCAGCCGGAGTACAACATTTTGTTTTCAGTCTTCCCTACGACCCTGGTACCGGTTACTGGATCCGGGACCGAACAATACTTTGTTAGCTGAGGCAGCTGAGGGATTTGGCGACTGGATTGCTAACGTGGTAAGTGGCTCTAATTGTCACTGACCCGCCGCTTACCGAAAGATGCCGTGGTAAGTATTACCAAGCCGAATTTGGACAGAGCACTCCAATCCGGTTCTTTACCCAGCTATCCGAAAGTGGCAAAGGAAAAAACTAACAAAAATTTCGGTGTCGCAAACGTGCCTGTCTATTTCTTGACCTAGGTATTTTTTAATATCACAGTTCACTTGCAGGAGAACCCCTTAGGAGCTACTCAGATCCTTCTATGAGATTCAAAGAGGACATCGAGGAGGAACCGCAGGAGAGAAGAAGTACTATTAAGAACTTTATTACTGTTAACATTTGAAAGTAGTAAGTTTCTCTTGTAGTTGTTTGGGCACTTTCTTCCATTCAAGCACATTCTCGTAGAGTTCTTCCGCCGGATTATCAACAAGCACCTGACCGCAGAGCACCGTGAGCAGCGTCCCGTTGTGGATTTTACCTGAAAGCATGGATACTAGCGAAAATAAGGAGACCAGGCGAAAATCCACTTGGAATCCTCTATTATGGCACCCTAAGCCTCGTAGGCCTGTATACCAGTAGGATTCCGAAAAGTCCATTTGGGATTTGAAACCGATGAAGTGCTACAGTGTTTCTGGGACATCACCAATGACTGCAACTTCAGGTTTACATAGAAGTCTCCCGCCTAGAAGTCTTTCAGAATGAGGTTGAGAAAAGAGTTTTACGCATTCGCTCTCCACTCGCAACCTATGCCGCGGCTATGCTGTCTAGGTTCGCGAGAAG